CATGCGGAGGGGGCAAGAAACGCCGAAGCCGGCTCTAACCAACGAGCGGTGCGCAGTGCCGAGAAGGCGGTGCCACAACGTCGCCAAGTTCCCATAAGGTGGAACGGGCTGCTGCTGCGACCGCCTCCCCGCCCATAGTCCTGCTGGGCGCCAGTGGACAGAAAACTCACCTTGAGCCACGGCCCCCCGCGATGCAGTAACCCCGTGTTTCCTGTCTGAACGGACAGCTCAGCTCTCTCCCAGAGGGGTTCTCAGAGCTCTAGGACCAGGACACCCGAAGACCACTCCAGCCGCGCGACCTAAGGGAAGTGCGATCCGCCCCCTCCGCGCCGGGCGCCTGCGCGCTGGTCCCGGAAACCCGAGCCGCGGCGACCTTTGTCGCGGGGCGTGGCGGACGCGTGGGATTCCTTGGCCAACCACGTTTTTTCAGTCGCGGTTTTTATTTTCCCCACTGGCATTTGACAGCTGCTGCCACTGTCAAGGATGAGTATAGCCAGCACTGGTTCCTGGGTCAAGGAGTGGTCCATTAAAGAACGCTCCTCTTGGTATAGCGCTGATGGGGATACGGTAGGTAGCAGTGGGGGTCTCATAGCCTGCATTCCTGAAATCTTCCCACGCAGTAGCGATCCTACCGGTCCCTAACCAACAAGGCAATCGGGAGAGAAGAAAGTGGATGGTGGCCGTGGCGACCTTAGGAAGGATCCTGTGCACCCACAGAAATTTATCTCGGCTAAGAAAAAGACGATTTGAAGGCGACTAAGTACGAGAGTAATTACAAATGTTTTTCTTCACAGTCTAAATATATGCAATGCACTTTTCTTTGTGTTACATATTAACTTTAGAAATCAATAAGATACTTTGTAAACACTAATATTTGTTAGTATAGGTTACTGTTGCTAACTTCTACAATTTTTTTTTTTTTTTTTTACAAAAATAAGATTGGCGCCTAGGTCTTCACAGCTGCATCTTCTACTTGGTGTTTTATATGTATTTTTTCAATGTTATTAAGTAATCTGCTTTTCTTCTCCAACTTTTATGAAAAATTTCAAGCATACATCAAAGTTGAGAGAATTTTACAGTGGAGCAGTTCTCAAGAGAAGGGGGTGTAGTTTTTGTTCCCCAGGGAACATTTCATAATGTCTGAAGATATTTTGGGTTTTCACAACTGGAAGGGTGCCTCTGGCATCTAATAAGTAGAGCCTAGGGATTCTGCTCAACTTCTTACAATGCCACGATGTCCCCCTACAACAAAGAATTTGCTGGTTCAAAATGTCCATAGTGCTGATGTTAAATTGACCTAAACAATATCATAACATTTTACTCTACTGGTTTTGTCATGTCTAATCCACTCATCAATCCGTTTTGATGCATTTCGAAGGAAATTGCAGACATTGGTATACTTATCTCTAAGTACTTCAGCATGCATAACAGTATTCAAATTTACCTTTTTTGAGGTACAAATGAAATGCATCTTAAATGTATATTTTCTGAGTTTTGACACACGCATACACCTGTGTAACTCAAACCCTATTAAGATACAGAACATTACCAGCACCCCAGGAAGTGCCTTTATGATCTTTCCCAGGTAGTCTCTAGCCAACACCCCAAGAGGATACCATTGTTGTGGTTTCTTCACACCATAATTAGATTCGCCTGTCCTAGAACTTCATATGGATGGAATTATACAGTAGGTACTTTTATGTAAAGCTTCTTTCAGAATATTTTAGAGTCATCCATGTTCTTGTATCAGCAGTTGCTTTTTATTGCTTAGTAGTATTTCATCGTGTGACTATATCACAGTTTTTGCATTCTTTTGATGAAAATGTGGCTGTTTCCAGTTTTTTGGCTTATTGCAAATAAGGCTGCTATGAACATTCTTATACAGGCATTTCATTTCTAATAACTATTTCTTCAGTAAGTATTCATAAGCACTTAATATGTTCCAGACACTTCTCAGTATTAGAGATATAGCAATGAACAAGACAAGATGTCCCATCTTTCAAAGAGCTTACACTCACGCAGTTCTGTGTATGGGAGCGTGGAGATAAATGTATAGGTAAATATGAAAAGAAAATTACCAGATAGTGATAATTCATGGGCAGAGAAGTAGAATAAAGTGAGGTGAGTGATTGGGTAGCTACGTTACTTAGGTTGTCCAGCCAATTTCTCTGTGAGACAGTGACTCTGGAGTTGTGAACATTATTACAATAAGACCAACCACAGAAGATCAAGGGGAACAGCGTTCTAGGCAGAGGAAGCAAGTAGTATAATGCCATAAGGCTGTTTTAGAATAGGAAAAAAAAAAAAAAAAAGCCTGTGTGCTGGATGAAGATAGCTTAAAAGAATTATATAAGCAATAAAGAGCAAGAAAGCTTCCCCTGTCCCCCATGTAACTATCTTTATTCTGGCCAATTCAACAGATTAGGATGCCACTTTCTCAATCTATTTTTACCCGATTACTAATAAGGATATTTCTTCATGTCTTTTATGACCAATTATTCTTTTATTGTGAATTACCTGCTTATATCCCTTGCCTATTTCTCTTTTGGCATCTGCACCCTTTTTTCCCCCAGCGATTATTGTGTTTTCTGTGTAAAACTAAACTCCAGGGCGGTGAGGCCCGTTTATTTCGTTCCCTTCATAAAGATCTTGGCACAAACATATTCTGAACAAGTGAACAGTAAATGTTTGAAAATTTTACCCTCTGTCTGCAAGGTTAGTTTAAGACAATGTCTATACTCAATTTTAGAAGTCGATTGGACAGAAGTAGGGGAACTGCGTGAAATGTAGATGCCCCCCTTGTAGCTGGACTTCGGATGTAACTTGTTTAAGGTAATCATCCAGGAGACACCAAACCTCGGCCCACCACCTGGTACCCATACTTCGGGTGCCCCCCTCTTAGCTGGACTTCTGATGCAACTTGTTTGAGTAAGGTAATCATCCAGGAGATACCAAACCTCGGCCCACCACCTGGTACCCATACTTCAGAAGCATTTAAATAACCCCTTCGTTGCGTCCCAGCGAGCACACCTCATGCACAGCCAGACTCCTGGGCGCTGCTGCGTCGGGAGCCGCGCGCAGGCATCGATTACCCAGACTCAGCCCCGGGGAACCCTGGGGCCAAGGCCACTTCCCATAATGCCTCGGACCGGAAGTTGTTGCTTTCTAGTTGTCACTCTGCCTTCGGCTCTGTCGCTTTTTACTCGTCACCGGGAGGAAAACGGAGCGGACGGGCCAGCCCAAACGCCCATTAGGCGATGCAGTTATGGGTGCTGTCGCCGTGGGTGAGTTCTGGTCCCAGTGACTCGCAGTCACCGCTTGGATGGCTTCTTGTGCTCCGAGAGGCCGAATTCCCGGCCCTGGCCTCGTTCTCTTCGCGA